GCAGGGCATTTTATAATAAACATTTATTTTGGAAACGGAGTCTCTAAAACTACGGACTGCAATTAAGTTGCTGCGCGATAAATACTAAACAGGATTACGGGAAACTAATCAGCTGCGCGCCTAATCATATCCTGTAGGGTCAAAAAAAGAGAATGGAGGAAGTTGAATTGTTTGGGATAAGCCACACAATTGCATCGTTAAGTTGTGTTGTACGAGGGTCGTTTAGAGGACAGAAATGTCCGAGAAACTTCATTTGATAATTAATGGACAGGTCAGCTTACTGCACCGAATGGGGGCGGTAGTGGACGAATTAATTTGCATTGACGCATGGCGACGGGCTAAGCATTCAGAGCTCTGTGAACAAGTCCATATAGTTGAGAGCCTCTAAGGAGCTTAAACCTGAATATTTCCGAACTTGAATTTGCCGATTTCGCGGTGACTTGGATGAATAACTTTATACTTGCAGGTCGAAGACTTTGTTGGTAGTGCAACATTTCTGATGATTCTGCGCAACTTTTGAAGATCTTGAGGAAGTGGCCTACAAAATCATCATAAGAAGCAATAAGATTACGCCTCGAAGGGATTCCTGGATAACGTTGCCACAAACATGTGTAACTTTTGCCGAGAAATCTGACGGCAAAACACGCTACTCATCATCTGAAGTGACTTACCCTCAATTTATTAGCAGCGTTTCGGCACCTCACTTGTAGAACACCAAGGTTTCCAGAAATATGTGTAACTTTAGCTGAGAAGTCTGATGGCAAAACACGCCTCCCATCATCTGGGGTGACTTACCCTCACATTATTAGCAAATTCTCGGCACTTCCCTCGTAGAAAACCGTCTGTAGATGGAAATTGTGGAATATATGGAAACTTAGAAGGATTCGCCGATGGAAAGCTGGTGAAGACAATAAATTTCAGGAGCCATCTGTGTAACCGCCTGAAAGAGACAAGTCATCCGGCTGCAGGAGCAACATTAGAATTTCTGGTAGGTTATGATCGAAGAGTAGCAATTCCCGACAACTGGCCTAGTTTCCAGGGCAAAAACAGATTTTCCTTCACGCGGTGTATCCCCTCCAGAGCACCGTCAAGGCGTTAGATCTGAACAGCTATAATCTGGATTGCGACAAACATTCAATGATCTCCCATATTTAATCAAATCCTCTTCAATTAAAAGAAACTCACGCCATGGTGATCCTCTAGTTACATATTCCTGTGAATGTAACAGCGATTCGTTCCATGAAATTTGTGTAAAACGTTGTTTCGATAACTTATAACGAATTTGGCAAAAAGCCCCATGAATTGGTCCTTCTAAACAAAAGAGGCATTTCGGGACAGGGTGGCGGTGGTGGTTTGGGAACTCGTTCATCTGTAACAAGTTCCCCTTGAACGATTGTTCAAACATGTGTTGCGTAGAATAACGCGGCGAAAATAAGTTAGCCAAACCGTAGCTGCGTGCCATGACGTAGATCTTTCTTAGTCGAAAGAAGGCGATCATTGTTCACCCTGGCTAATAATTTTAGAATTACAGATGTCATATTGGAAATCGGGAAATCCGTCAAAATGTTTTGATGAATAACTTGGGCATGTGAAATTATTATGACGAATGAAAAGCCAACCCATATATTCTTATGGACCGATTGTTTGCCGACTGGCAAAACCGTAATCAACATAGTTAAGAGCATAAATATTCTGACCATCTACGCACGTACCACGTGGAATTCAGCTTGATGCAACCAATAGATATCTGGAAAGATCGGCGATTATTAGGAAACCACCAAAGATTTGCAATTTTCGCAACATTCATAGGAGTCACATGATCGATAAAACAAGCAACACTATTCATTTTTGTTCAGCATATGTTAATTGGAAATAAGCATGGCTGTCGGGAGCACATTGATGGTGCAGAAAATACAGGAATATACTACCCAGGCATACACAGCCTGAGATTTGTTGCCACATGTTTCACTCAATCACCAGTGGGCACGTAGGGCTTGTGTTCTCCAGAAGGATCCAGCTTGTCACAGTTATGGTTATACTTTCTTATGTCAGCGATCTTCATGCATGTACCAGGCGTGTTTATTTTGTTTAGATGGCCTAAAGAAGAGATGAACACGACATGACATTCATCAAACCATCATCCGGATTTGGACAACCTGGATCACAAAGCTGATCGCCCGTCTTCGAGTAGTGTCGAGTCATCGGCACTTCCGTTAACGAACTGAGCATACGGTTGAAACTTGCAACTTTGCACAATCACAGTTTGAGCCAATCATTCATGCTTGTGGGCGATCAAGTAAAGGATTTGGATCCGCGTGTTTTTGCGTAACACGGTAAGAACATGGTCGATGAAGCATCCTCATTTTGCACTCTCCCGCTGAGACTGCTTCAGCCCAGGCTACTCAGTCAGATTGTAGCCGAAGGATCTCACAAATTGTTCCAGCTTATCTACTCTTGGCGCACGTGGATCCCATTTGTTCGATGCTTTTCCCCAAATTGATGTTCCCATTTTACAGAGATTAGGTGATCCGTTCACGGCATATCCATACCGTTCACCTGGATCAATTGAAACGACTCAACCGTCACGACGAAATTTTTAACGGGGCAATAATTCCTCCTCATTTGAACTATAATCCGTGGATACAAGCCCCAACACACGCTTGTGCACTTCTGACAAAGACACCAATGCCCAGTAGGTTTGATTATGTACTGACAGCAGCGCAGCTAGAAATCCAGACGAATAATGAATAAGGTCACGGGTGTGCTGCAAGTGGTATACGAGTAGACATTGGAACATTCTGGCCAAGTCTTGATCTGCTGGCCGTGTATACTGACTGACTTGCAAACGTTTCGATATCATTAGAGGGACATTCCCAGTGCACATTTGGGTGGGTAACCCCTATTTGCCTCCGCGTATTAGGTATACTTTTTTATCAGGTGGATTGTGATCTGCTGGCCGTGTATGGTAACTGACTTGCAAACGTTTCGATATCATTAGAGGGACATTCCCAGTGCACATTTGGGTGGGTAACCCCTATTTGCCTCCGCGTATTTATTAGGTATTCAAAGGCGTTTGGTGAGTTTTATGGTACGTTTGCAACCCGATTGCCATGATCCGTGTTGGCCAACAAACAATAAAATCATTCGAGCTACCATCATTTCGATGCATTGAGTTCCCTGACCACATTTATTATATTCCTCANCGTCTGGTGATTAGTAGCTACATTCAGGCTAACGAATGAAAGTGTCTTGAGAATATTTCTGCCAATAATAAACAGATTGTTCAATTTTGTATGGTGGTGCTGGCTTCCCTCGGAAACCTACTTGACTACAATTATTGATCATTCTATTTGCTTTCTCCCTTGGGTTCATAATCTGGTTGCAGAACGCTTAACTTGATCAAGCTGATGCCGACAGCAATTTGTCATTCTTAGAATCGATGCATATGCGGAGGCATCCGCTAAAGTCAATCGGTGGTGCGAGATTTTGACCGTCGACCGCGTGACCCTCTTTTGAAAGGTCCCCGTTACTCACGGGTCAGATGTTTGCTGCACTCTTTCAAACATTGTTTTCCATTTCGTATGGGTTTGGTATTTTCAAGCTAGCTTTAGTTATATAATTTTTTGCTCAGTGAAATTTCTTTACGTTGACAGATGTAACAAGTACTTGCGTCAATGCTCAACTTCATGTTGATTTAAACGAACGACTTTAGTAATCCTGGTCAGCTAGAGGTGGGTTGCTGGATTTTCCTTGGGGAGCATTTGACCATCCAAAAATGTTTTGGGCTGGGGAGAGGGACCAACCTTTGCACCCCGTACATTAACGAAACAGGGCATTTTATAATAAAAATTTATTTTGGAAACGGAGCCTCTAAAACTACGGATTGCAACTAAATTGCTGCGCGATAAATACTAAACAGGATTACTGGGGAACTAATCATCTGCGTGCTTAATCATATCCTATAGGGTCAAGAAAAGGGAATGGAGGAATTTGAATAGTTTGGGATAAGCTACACAATTGCATCGTTTAGTTGTGTTATAGCAGCGCCGTTTAGAAGACAGAAATGTCCCAGAAACTCTGTTTGATACCTGATGGACTGCACCGAATTGGGGTCGCAGAGGATGAATTATTTTGCATTGACGCATGGTGACGGGCTAAGCTTTCAGAGCTCTGTGAATGAGCTTCTAATGAGGTTAAACCTGAATATTTCCGAACTGAAATTTGCAGAATTCGCAGTGACTTGGATGATTAACATTATATTTGCAGATCGAAGACTTTGTTGATACTGCTGCATCTCTGATGAGACTGCGAATTTTTTGAAGTTCTTGAGCGAATGGCCTACAAAATCATAATAAGAAGCAACAAGATTACGCCTAGAAGATGCTGCGGTTTCAGGGATTCCTGGATAAGGTTTCCAGAAATATGTGTAACTTTAGCTGAGAAGTCTGATGGCAAAACACGCCCCCCATCATCTGGGGTGACTTACCCTCACATTATTAGCAAATTCTCGGCACTTCCCTCGTAGAAAACCGTCTGTAGATGGAAATTGTGGAATATATGGAAACTTAGAAGGATTCGCCGATGGAAAGCTGGTGAAGACAATAAATTTCAGGAGCCATCTGTGTAACCGCCTGAAAGAGACAAGTCATC